TTTTTTTAATAAATAAATTTTCTATTCAGTTAAAAATAATAAAGTGTGAAACTATAAAACTAATAGCAAAAAAAAGAAGCAAAGGATGCCAAAAATAACATGAAAATACAAAAATCTACATTTAATTTGCATTAACACCAATTTATATTGGAAAAATGTACCAGTTTAAACCACCCTATCTCTTAATAACATGGAAAAAAAATATTAGAAACAGATGTACCAATTCAAACCTTATCTCTTAATAGGTTTAATAGAAAAAATATATAATCGGAAAAAAAAATATAGAATACAAAAAAAAAAATTGTTTATGTATTATTCATGCAAATTGTTTAGCCCCAAGATTTGTAGAACTTTAATTTTTGAAGTTTGCTTATGTATACTATCTTCTTCCTAATTAGATTATTAACCAAAGAGTAAATTTTTAATTAATATGTGGTTGAAAGAAAAAAAGATAATATATAAGTGGACTATTGTTTCGTCTTTTTCAATTTTAAAAGCTTATGATCAATTCTCTACTTATGTTTGGTCTAATTTAATGTATGTTATCGTGAGTTGGTGACTATGCTTTGATTGTGATGCTTAAGAGCCACAAGTTAGTGTGACCTTCAAACCTGTTCACATTAAATTTATGATAACTACTACTTAACCAACATATAAACATAATTTCCCCACATTTTAATTATTTTCTAACGATGATTAGACTTAAGCATTGTTGGTTCAATACTAGACTGGGAGGTTATACATTATGCAAAGGGGTCACCTGACCCAAACCATTTTTTATATTGAAAATCAAAATTTGGTAATACATTAAAAAACCATATTGTTACATACTATATTTTTAGGTAGGCTTAAGATTATTTTTAAAATTCTCTAGCTCTTGGTAAACATTTTAATTTGACATTGTACAAGTAAAATTATCAAGTTTTTCAATCGTCGAGTTATCTAAATCATTCACATTTAGTAAATGGAAATGATTTTAGTTTTTTTTTTTTTTGGCTCTTAGGAGGCATGCGACTAAAATTTGTTCGTTTGACAGTCACGCTCCAATTACGATTAAATTTTTAGTCGCAGAGACGGAATTTTTTAAATTATAATTAGTTATAGCGATTAGTACAACATCTCACAGTTTTAAAATCGTAGTCGCAGTTATTTGCGACTATGAAATGAACATTGTTATGTTTTACTTCTAGGTTGGACTCTCACTGTGGTCAACTAGAACTGATGAAAACTCAAAAAAAAAAAAATAACAGTTTAAACGTTAAAATAAAATAGAAAAAGGGAGCAAAACTGAGTTTGGGAAAGGAACAAATTGGATCGCAACATTTGGGTACACAAGGACCTCGAGGCCTGTTTTGGAGTATGGGCTCCTTAAGGCCCAATATGATGAGAACAAAAGTAAAAATCGCTAGAAGGAGGGGTCGAACCTCCGACCTTGTGGTTAACAGCCACACGCTCTAACCAACTGAGCTATTCCAGCTCTTTGCTTCAAATATAAACAAATATAAATTATAAATTACATAAGGTTCCTGAAAGCTGTAACACAAGAAAATATCTCTATCAAGTTAAACTTATAATTACAGTCCAATTTTTTTTATTTTTTTTTGTTATGCCTAGCATTTTCAATTTTAATTTTGTATTGTATATATTAATATTTATATTAGATACTTAATCTTAAAACTAAGTTATTTTGCAAAACAGCTAGACCTTGTATTTTCCTCATACTTTGATTTTGTATCTTTCAACTCCAATGCTTTTAAACTCTCTTAGTAAATATGTTGTATGCAAATAAATCAATGATAAAACATCTAAAGAAACTGATAAAAAGTTTTTTCTATGTTATTATCATATAGAAGCATATATAGCCAAATAATTCATAACATCTAATATATGGAACATTACAAACAAATTTTATTCATAACATAACTATAAGTAAATAGAAAACTATATTTAATTTTTTAAAAAGTATTTAAATTTTCAATTCATGATTTTAATTTGACCATCGATCAATATTTTCGGATACAAATTTAAGGGTGCTTTAAAAATCTATCACTTTTTCGATGTTTAAAAGTGTAAATTTGTTCATTACTACATTATCAGGTGCCTAAAAATGGGATAAAATTCGTCATTTCATTGTATGTTGTATCAGTACAAACTCCAAATTTCTTTTTTCCATTACATAAAATAACATCAAGAGTTTTGATTTCTATAGTGTTGTATTCTTACTACTAAAACTTGACAAATGCGTAAATATCATTTTGTGGTTATCAATTCTATAGATCATCTAAATGACACATTAACAAAACAAATTAGGTATATTAAGAAGACAATTTATACAATATATGTTCATAATTAATGTACTTTTTAAAGTTAAAAATTGTCATTTTTGTATTTAAAAAAATTACATGATTACCTTCTCACATATATATTTACCATTTTCATTATGAAAATCCCTTTTCCAAACCGATTATTGTTTCCAAATATATGAACCATATTATAAAGCTCATCCTATTAAAATAACAAAAATAAGAAAAATATTGTTTAAAAGCAAAGTATTCAAAATCGAAAATTTTAATTGTACTATGCATAGAATTCCATTTCTTTGTATGTGTCATACGACTTTCTTAATATTACATCCGTAAAAATAGAGGATTATTTTTCATGAGATCTTTCAACATTTTTCTAGTCTAAGTTTTGAAGGACTGCAAAGCGCACAAATGTCCAATTTCACATCTTAACTCAAATTTGCATTGTGTGAATGAGAATATTTTCTTTCAAAAATTATTTCACGTCATCAAACTTGTATATTTTTTTTTTTATAATTATTGGTGATAAGATTTTGTGTAGAAAAAATAATTAGTTCCTTTCTGACTTATTTTTAAAAGATAGACTTTATTGATCTATTGATTTAAGAATTGACATGATCACAATTACCCATATGGAAACATTGTAGATAAAAATATGTTTTTGCTTTGAAACATAATATTACATATGACATTAGAACTTTACTTGCACTGTTTTCAAAGTTTTCACAAAAATCCTCTCCATATTTTTTTATTAGATTAATTATAGTTATCTACAACAAATAAATATGTGACGAAAATCAAACAGATTTCATATATATTTCAACCATCTAGCTTTTAATTGGCCCCTTTCCTAATGGGAGAATTCATAGTCATTGGTTCGAAAAAATCTAGATGAGATCTTAGTTAGAGAGAAACAATATTTTGGTAATTAGATGAAGCATAGGAATCAGTAAAAAATTTGTTTTTGTTATAAGTTCTGACAAATATAAGTAATTGATAGAATACAACTTGTAATTGTAGTATTATGAGATTCGCATCACAACATAAATAATATATATAGTTATACGATTTTTGAGATGAAGAGAGAAATCTATACCAATTCTTTTAATCAATTTTTAGTAGTCTAATCTGTATTTAACGGTTTTGTAGTACAGTAAAACCTCTATAAATTAATACTCGATAAATTAATAATCTTTATAATTAATAAATTTTTTCAGTCCCAACTTGGGACCAGTGTAATTTTAGACACATTTCGATAAAATAATAAGATAATAATTTTTTTGAAAATCCTTTGTAATTATATGATCCCATCAATATTATAAATTAATAATTAGGTAAAAGTTTCAAAATATATGTATATATAGACACATTATTTTTTGTTAGAGTTTATTTTTAATATTTTACTATATAAAAAATTGTTAGAATTCTCTTTCAAGACATAATTATTATTATTTTCTATGTTATTGATTATATAAAATACTAATTATCATGATTAAATATTATTTTAAGATATTTTTTTGATAAAACTTTCCAAATTAGGAAAATCTCTCTATAAATTAATAATTATTAATTTATCGATAAATTAAAACCTATATAAATTAATAGATTTTCATGGTCCCAATATTATTAATTTATAGAAGTTTTACTGTATTTTGTTTTCTTGTTCTCGACTCTATTTGGTAATACAAAATTAGTTCTGACAATATAAAGTATTTTTTTAGGAAAAATAATAATTATTTTTTGTATATAAATTATAAATATAAGGATCTCTAATCTATATTTATATGTTTTGAAGTACATTTGAGAAATAATTTATTGAGGTAAAATGTTACAAGAAAATACCATTAATAATAGGCAAATTGATTAAAGACATTAAGGAATATTAAAAGATTTTTTTTTTAAAGATGAAAATGATGATTCTCTTATTGTATTTGGTTGATTTTTTTTTCTTAATTGCTTTGACTCATTGTATAATTATATAAATTTAATAAAATATATTTATCTGCGTATGTTGTGATTCGAAGTTTTTTAAAACTAACGTATATTACTTAATTAATGAAGAAAAATGTTTGTGTGTTCTTATGTCCCACATTGGGGATTATTTTAATGATTAGAGCAGATTTGGTTATTTAATTAAGGTATGTCCAATACACACACAAAATACTACTCCGTATAAATTACGTATTTTTTACATAATTAAATATTTAAAGTGGTTTAGTTCTTTTCATGGTTCACGTCACTAAACTGAGTGATTAATTCTTTGAATGTAAATATTGTAAGTTGATTTTTTCTTGTTCTTACATAAAATTATATACGTGCATGTGGATCCTAAATGACTTCGATGCTTCAGACTGATAAGATTACAAAAGTAGAGAAATATCTATTTTGATCTCATGCCAGCTTCTTCTCTTAATTAATTTAACTCTAATAGAAATATATATATATATATATCAAAATGTCATCATTTTCCTTTAAAATATAAGAAAGAACTGGTTATATAAACCTTTAATCATCATAATAACATAACTATGTCTACGTACACAAACGTTATCTCTCTTTCCTTACCAATCTCTAACCTTAGAACAGTTCCTCATTGTTGGGATCTCTCAAATCTCCACAACCTTCCAAAGCAAAACCCTAGACAGGAACATAACTCAAACCCTACAAATCTCACTTTGATTATATATATTTAACGCAATGTCACTCATTAACGACCATGTCAATGAGCCTATTAACATCTCTAACCAAAAGTCTTCAGAAGATAACTCTTCACCGGAGGCTTGAGGGTTAGACTTAGACAGAGGAGCTTCAGCTTCAAGCAGTAGCATCAATCATCATCAACTGAATCAAGGGTTAGTGTTTCACCCTTCAGATGAAACCATTGGACATCAGTCTTTAGCTTCGACCATCACCGAAGCTTTGTCCTTCCCGCGAACAGCGATAGTGCTTTATCGGTCTTGGACAGGAACATGAGCTACAGCTATACAGGTTGGACTGAGCAAATGGATAGTATTAGCCCTAGAGTCATTAAAAGTTCGAATTGCTTTGCAACAATGAGAAGCTTCGAATTGACTTCAAATCCTGCGAGTAAACCGGCTACAAATCATAGCGATGGAGACTGGTTATATTCGGATTCAACCATTGTAAAAACTGGTTCAATACTAGAGTCTTTATCCCCTAAACCAGCTGGCAATAAGCGTCCTTCCATTGTAACAAATCCTAACTTCAAAGTAAGATCTATGATTTAGATCAATTTGAGGATATAATTAATGTTTACGTCTAATGATCTATAGGGAGAGAACACTCAAGTTTCAAAGAAGGCAAAGACTAAGACAACAAATTCACCTAAAGATCCACAAAGCCAAGCAGCCAAGGTTTGCTTTTAAATTTTAGGAATATAAATAAGTGTTTTGTTGATTCATTAATACGAATATATACATTTCTTTGTCTAGAATCGAAGAGAAAGGATAAGCGAACGTCTCAAAGTATTGCAAGAACTTGTACCAAATGGTACCAAGGTATAATACGTACATATAAAAGTATATATAACACCATTCTTTATAATATAAAGATTTCATATGTACTAACGAGTTTGATTTCTATCTAGGTTGATTTGGTGACAATGCTTGAGAAAGCAATTGGCTATGTCAAGTTTCTCCAACTACAAGTTAACGTAGATTATTCTTAACAATTTAACATGCATTTGATTAGTTATACCATAAGCTATATATGTCATATATTATTAGGGTTTTTTTTTCATGTACCATATATAACATTACTTGCAGCCGATGAGTTTTGGCCGACACAAGGAAGAAAAGCTCCGGACATATCTCAAGTTAAAGAAGCTATTGACGCAATCCTCTCACAACAAGATATGAACTCTAACTAGCTATAGGCAAACTGATTTCCAAATAAAAAACATCTTTGATTATTCAAAAAAAAAACGGATTTCCAAATAATTAATTATAAAACTAATGACCATTTGAACTCGGTTTTAAAAAAAAATATATTTAAGCAACGTTAAGCTGTGTGCAAATCTAGAAGTTATGATTCTTCTTTTTATCGTGCAAATTTTGTATTTTTGTAATTCCCAAGACATGCGTAATGTGATGCTGCAAAATTTGGATTTTTTTGGAAGAAACGTTTATGTTTTCAGTATTTTGACTCATTTTCTTGTCTAAGACTAATAAAATAGTTAAGTACCAATTTAAACTAGAAAAATCTGATTGTTACAATTTATATGTTTGTATAAATTTTTCCGATGTATATATGATTATATTGATAGAGAACAAATTACTTACATCATGATTTCATGATTAAGATAAATTAGATGCATTAATTATCGGATAATACTTAACACTACAGTTCTTGTTTTTATATTAACTGCAACACTAGCTATACTTATTTCGTTATCTATAAACATTATCTAAAGTATCAATAAACAACAACTTTATTTACTAACGTAACCGATTGGAAAACATACTTAATTAAGATCTCGATTAGGGATACGTGTTCGATATAGTATAGTATTATGAATAATTCCATTCTTTAACATATAGTATTACATTTTATATTTAAATAACCACATGATAGCTACATTGGTATAATCCCATTTTAAGCGCTAGATGTACTTGTAATTGTGTACTTGTATTAGTTTATGTACTTATGTAAGTTCTATTAAAGAAGTGAATAAGACAAAATAAGTTATTGGATAATTAATCCACAGATCTTTGAAGCAAATCATTACAAACATAATTTCAACAATCATTTTTAGTGACATCAATATATTTGGTATTTTATCTTTTATATGTTTAGATTAAATTTTTTTTTTTTTGTGTTTTGACCTCCTAAGTGTGCCCTCTAAATTTCAGTTTGATAACCAAGTTTTTTAAGAGAATACAAAAATAAAGCTTAGAGTATACAAATGTAATATTTTTTTATCAATATGTATCTCAAGAAAATAATTCTAAGACCTTAACTTATACATAAGCAAATTGTTTTTATGTTTATTTTTGTCAAACAAGCAAATTGTTTAGTTATTTACAACTTACAAGAGAGAAAAGATGTGTAGTTTGTATTCTTGTTTTCAAATACCAACTTCATTATTTCTTCTTTAAATGATTCCAATATTATTTCAAAGAGTTTCTCGATTGAATCTAATTAATTATACGTCAAAATTTTAACTAATTAGCTTTATGAATATTCCTCTAAAGATTCTCTTGTTAATTGGTTGAATTTCAATTTGTTTATATGTCTCCATAATCAGGGACATGTGATATTCTATAAACAAGCCAGATCACTGATTCACTTCATGCATATACTTTATTATTGACCGGATAATCATTTGTATTATTGTATACATAATATATAATTTTCTCTCAAGCTTGTTGTTATACATGTGCATGCATATATGATAACCTCATATGTAACAAGCTCTGATACAAATATATATATATATGATTATTGTTATTACTTACTTTGTTAACGTATGTAATATATAGTCAGAATTCAAAACTGGTTTTGTTCTTTATACTTTTGTATACGTAGTGAGAAAAAATATCAAAATAATAAACTCCTATTAATTTGCAACCTAAAACTAATTGAACTCCTTAATTAGCCTCTTTAATTTCACCCATCTCTCCACAAAAAGACCAAGTCTCTGATCCTACTTTTCATCTGTTACATCCAATTACACCTCTCATATTCCAACTCTTTAGATTTAATTCACATCAAAAAAAATTTAAAAAACATCTAACCACTAAAATTTTCATTTTTTTTTTCTTCTCAAATAAAATCTCTCAACTAATTTTCTTTAGTTTTAGAAAAACTTGTTTCTAAAATATTTCATTCAAAAATTGTCCATAGAAAAAATGAGTTCCCATAGTGATGAAATCGAAGAAGAGCAAATATCAAGAATTGAGAAAGGCAAAGGCAGAGATTGCCAAGGAGGAGGAGGACTCGAGACGGTCATATGCACTTCCCCTAGCATTGTCTGCCTTACCCAAAAGGTTACAAAAACCAAAACTTATTTGTTTTAATGCATAGTTATAATGATAATAAACATTTTTGCACATATTGATTATTTATTTTGATATTGATTTCAGTTGATAGCAGAGATGATTGGGACGTATTTTATAGTATTCTCTGGTTGTGGAGTGGTGGTAGTGAATGTGTTATACGGTGGAACAGTAACGTTTCCAGGGGTATGTGTGACTTGGGGTCTCATTGTTATGGTCATGATTTACTCTACCGGTCACATCTCCGGTGCACATTTTAACCCGGCCGTTACCGTCACTTTCGCCATTTTCCGGCGGTTCCCTTGGCATCAGGTCACTATACTATCTATCTAATACTCTATCTCTACATTTAATAAGATCTACAATTTTTTTCATACAATAAGGTTATATGAAAAAATAGTAAAAAGAAAAATGCGATTAATTAACACAAAAAATGAATTTAACAAAAACATTTTCATTCTTATTCTTTGCCAATCCATTTTATTTTCATTCTTTTATAAAATTAAAATATAAACGTAATGTTTTTTTATATAGCTATTTTAAAATTAATAGCAAATCATCTAGGGATCGATCGGCATCTATACTAATAACAAATTTTATATTCAAAATATGTATTTTATATTTTATATTCGAACGTACGTAATATACTTCAAAATATAATGGTACAAATTTTTTTTTGAAATCAATCTCGTACGTATGTGCGGGTCCGAATCTAGTATGCTATAAAAACATTGCATGGGTTTGATCGTAGTTACTTTTTGCAATTTCTGCGACCAATGTGTGATGTATAAATGTGGCATTTGCGTTTACATATGTTAGAAAAATATACATATATAGGAAAATAAAAAAAAGAAACGTACTAATTAATATGAAAGAACGAATAATAATGTATAATATGTTTTTGGGCAGGTACCATTGTATATAGGTGCACAGTTTGCGGGATCGTTACTAGCAAGTTTGACATTAAGACTAATGTTCATAGTGACACCCGAAGCTTACTTTGGAACCACTCCGACAGATTCACCGGCACGAGCACTCGTCGCAGAAATCATTACTTCATTCCTCCTCATGTTCGTTATCTCTGGTGTTTCCACCGATAATCGTGCGGTTAGTAATCTATTCATATTGGTATGATCATTATAACTAAAAATGGACAAAACATTTAACATATGACATGATTTTAGAAAAAAAACAAAAACCCAAAAGTATTTTAAGATTATGGTATAAATAATATTCATGGATAAATAATTACAGTACTACGCCAAGAAATATCTAATTTTGTTAATAAAACATTTTTTTTTTGTTATAAAACTTGCAAAATGATGAATTTTCCTTTACAATTTTTTTTTATTTCGTCTTTTTTTTTTTAATGTAATGTTAGATTAAATTCAAAAGAAAATAGCGCTTTTACAACATGTGCAACGATGAATTGATATTATAATCAAAGCAAATCAAAGATGTTTTTGAGCCTGAGAGGGAGATCACAACCTTGAAGCAAGCCAAAGTTAAAACCCTCTATCGTAATGCCGATTTCTTTTATTTCATCAACCTGACCGCATAGGAAAATGTAGGAATGTGAAAATTTTCACAAAATTTATGACTAGTAACAACTTTTGTAGATGATTTGATCGTTTCGCGAGTTAATCAGAATCTATTTAAATGGATAACTGATTTCATAATATCAAAAACCATTTGTTTCATTTGAACTCGCTAGTACATATTCTAAATTTTTTATTTTGCATAATACGATTTTAACAGGTTGGAGAATTAGCTGGTATTGCGGTTGGGATGACTATAATGTTGAACGTCTTTGTGGCCGGGTATGTAAAAAATCTCATCCTCTTCCTTTTCTTAATATTATACTAGTTAAGTTAAGTTAAGTTCAGTCCAAAAAAAAAAGTTAAGTTAAGTTAAGTTAGTATAAATTTATATGAATGATTAACTTAAGTATACTAGTTAAACTAAAGTTAAAGTTAACTATATAGTATAAATTTATATGAATGATTTTATATGCTTTCGGTTTGGTTAATGTTAATATGTTACAAAAAACATGGACAGGCCTGTATCGGGAGCATCAATGAATCCAGCGAGAAGTCTAGGACCAGCATTAGTGATGGGAGTATATAAACACATATGGATTTACATTGTTGGTCCTGTCTTTGGAGTTATGGCCGGAGGTTTTGTTTACAACCTTATCAGGTTCACTGATAAGCCACTCCGAGAGCTTACTAAGAGTGCTTCTTTTCTCCGTAGTGTGTCTCCAAGCCACAAAGCCTCTAGCTCTAAGAGCTAGTCTTTGTTCTCTAACTAGTTTTATGATGATCTTATTGAGTTACTCTTTTCTTCTTTTGAATATTTGTATTATTTTGTCTAACTTTAACTTTAGTTTAATCTTAACCCAATTCTTGATCAAAGTTCATAGATATCCAAAATAATTTTCATATGGTTTGGGTTGATTGATTTGATCTTAATGTAATTTTAACTGAATTCAAACTGAAGTTAGTTTGGTTCGGTTTAGTTTACTTTAACTTGGGTCAGTTTGGTTTGATTATATATGTTTTGGTTTAGTTTTAGTTCGATTAAAGTTTAAAAGATAAGGGAAATTCTCGTTAATAGCACCAAAATAATTTTGTTTTCTAATTTAGCTATCTTATGCATTTACAAATTTAGGCTATATTATGCATTTACAAATTTTTCTATCTTATGCATTTACAAATTTAGGTTATCTTATGCATTTGTAACAGTTAAGGAGTCAAATGGTTCGGTTCGGGTCAGCCAAATTTAGGCTATCTTATGCATTTGTAACAGTTAAGGAGTCAAATGGTTTGGTTCAGGTCGGCCAAATTTAGGCTATCTTATGCATTTACAAATTTTTCTATATTTGGCAGACATGCCAACATGTTTGACTCTTTAACTGTTGACACTCTTTTGACTCATTTCAACATATGTATAACACATCAGATTCAAAGTCGGATCCTATTTTTTCATATATTACATCTAGTTACAGCTCTATACATTAATCCAACTCTCATTAGATATAATCCAACCAAAACTGTTTCAACTAATTTCTGTTTCCCATGTATAAAAACTTTTTAATCTCCAAGTTCTCTAACAATAACACAAAATTAATTTCCTTTTTTCTTGTATAAAATATAAATTTATCAAAAAAAATAAAAAATGTCTTCCCATTGTGAAGAAACAGAAGAAGAACAAATATCAAGAATTGAGAAAGGCAATGGCACAGATTGCCATGGAGGAATCGAGACGGTCATATGTACTTCTCCTAGCATTGTTTGTCTTACCCAAAAGGTTACAAAACTATAACTATAAATAAAACTAAAAAACTATTCGTTTTATTAGCTTATTTAACAATGATAATTATAAATATTTTTGGTTAAATTTTTTAATTTTGTTTAATATAAAATTGATTACAGTTGATAGCAGAGATGATTGGGACATATTTCATAATATTCTCTGGATGTGGAGTGGTGGTAGTGAATGTTTTGTACGGTGGAACGGTAACGTTTCCGGGGATATGTGTGACTTGGGGTCTCATTGTTATGGTCATGATTTACTCTACCGGTCACATTTCCGGTGCACATTTTAACCCGGCCGTCACCGTCACTTTCGCTGTTTTCCGACGATTTCCTTGGTATCAGGTGAATAGGCAACCATAGCAAATTTAGGATATTTTTTTTGCAATACTATAGTTTTTGTAATACATTTGACACAATACTAATTTTCATAAACATTTTACAACCAATGCGCGACTTAGTTCGCTAGGCGGGTTGCTGTTTCAAATCGAAGTCTAAATTATAGTAATCGGATTCGATATTTGAATAATATGATGGTATAATGTTTTTGGGCAGGTACCAATGTATATAGGTGCACAACTTACTGGATCGTTACTAGCAAGTTTGACATTAAGACTAATGTTCACATTGACACCCAAAGCATTCTTTGGGACAACTCCGACTGATTCATCGGGGCAAGCACTCGTTGCCGAGATCATTATCTCATTTCTCCTCATGTTTGTTATCTCCGGCGTTGCCACGGATAGTCGTGCGGTTAGTGTTTCCAGTATCACCCTCTGTATTTTCTTGTTATATGTTCATCTGGCTAGCTAGTTTATACATATTGGTAGATCATCACTAAAACTGAAAAAAAAATAAAGATAAAAATATGTGACATGATTGTTACAAAATATTCATAAGTGGAAGTTCTTATGTTATTGACAGACCGGAGAACTAGCTGGAATTGCCGTGGGAATGACTATAATCTTGAACGTCTTTGTAGCCGGGTAAGAACAATATGTTACTAATTAATTACTATTGTAACAATTATATCATATACACTAGTAATTATTAGTTAAATTTGGTGTTTTTGATTATGATTAGACCTATATCGGGAGCGTCCATGAATCCAGCGAGAAGCTTAGGACCAGCAATAGTGATGGGAAGGTATAAAGGCATTTGGATTTACATTGTTGGTCCCTTCGTCGGAGTTTTCGCCGGAGGTTTCGTTTACAACTTTATGAGATTCACGAATAAGCCACTCCGGGAACTCACTAAGAGCGCTTCGTTTCTTCGTAGCGTTGCTCCTAAAGACAATGATTCTAACTCTACTAGGAGCTAATTCTAACTCTACTAGGAGCTAATAATCTTTGTTTGATCTTATTTGTATGCATTCCTAAAATTCTTTGATTAACTTAAGTTTTAGTTGGATTGAGTCGAAATGTTTGTACAATGTGTGAATCCTTAAAGAACAGCATAAAAACACAACATCAGCTACTTACTTATTCACCACAACAATATCATTACCTTATTCTTTTGGAAACAAGAATCTGATCCTTATTTACCTCCAAAGAATGTCCCGGCTAAGAGACACCAACTGGAAAAGTAATGAAGTTCTAGAAGAGACTTACAAGGAGGAGATCAATGGCTTTAAACGTCAGCGCCAAATCCGCCACCACCCGGAGTAAGAATCTGTAGAATTTCACCGGCTTCAACGTGTACAGTATTCTTGCCTCCAAGGTAAATTCTCCGTTTGTCTTTAGTGATGAGATAGTTTGCTCCACGAACTCCGTTTTGGCCACCGTTCAATCCACGTGGCGAGTGAACTCGTCTCTCTGAGAGGATACTAACCACCACAGGCTTTCTAAACTCTATCTCTCTCACTAATCCGTCCCCTCCTTTATGCAACCCATTGCCTCCACTATTCTCTCTTAATCCAAATTTATGCAACAGAACAGGGTACCTGGTAAAACCCATGTGTCAGTAAAGTAAAAGTAGGTCTGACCATTGTGATTATCCTAAGTGAGTTTGTCGTGGATTTGTATCGGTGTTAATAGCTTAGCAACTATAGCTAGGAATCTAACAAGTTAATAGGGAGTTCAGTACCTTTGCTCAAAGATCTCGGGATCAGTCATCCGAGTGTTAGTCATATGGCATTGCACTCCGCTTGTCCCGTCCCATGTTGGTCCAGCTCCGCATCCTCCACCAATCGTCTCATAGTACCCAAATGTATCGTCTCCAAATGTGAGATTGTTCATGCATCCTTGGGAACAAGCACAAGCCTGGAAAGCTGTTAGGACAACATCTGTAACTCTCTGGGATGTTAGAACGTTGCCTCCAACAACAGCTGCCTTCTCACTTGGAGACAGGAAAGAACCAGCCGGTATCCGAATTTCAACCGGAGCTAAGCAGCCTTGGTTTAGCGGAATGTCGACATTAACTAAACAGCGTAGGCAGTAAATTACCGCTGCAGATGTAACTGCTTCTGGGGCATTCCAGTTACCATAGACTTCCGGGCTTGTACCTGTGAAATCGAAAAAGGCTTCTCCTTTTTCAGCATTGATTGTGAGTTTTAAGTGAATCACGGATCCGTCATCCATGTAATCTTCTTCTTCTATGGTCACAGAATTACCAACCCTTGATTTAGGCGTTTCCGATGAGACTCTAATAGCAACAGACTTCAGCATTTCTCTCACTGCTTCTTCTGCGTTAAGCTGCACATATTTCATGTAAGCCTGAACAGTTCCAAGGCCATATTGCTCAATAAGCTCTTTAATTAGAGCAATTCCCCTCTGGTTTGCAGCTATCTGAGCTTGAAGATCCGAGAGATTGTCCTGAATCCTTCTGGTTCCTGGAATCTTAGTTGTCGTTTCATCAGAAGAAGGGAACTGAAGCAGTTTAACAATTCCTTCTTCCTGGAAAACCCCTTTTTCAACAACTTTAAACGCTTTTATCGCAGCACCTTCTTCCCAAATCGCCTTTGAGAAAGGAGGCATGCTTCCTGGAGTTATGCCTCCAACTTCTGCATGGTGACCTCTGCTAGCCACAAAGAACACAAGCTTGCTGTTGTCAAAAACAGGTGTGATAACAGTTATATCAGGCAAATGGCTACCACCGGCGCAAGGATGATTAGTTACCAAAACATCTCCTTCATTCAGATTTTCACCCCAATGTTTGAGCTGCCAGCGAACTGTACTCGACATGGCACCCAGATGAACTGGAACATGTGGCGCATTAGCAACTAAGCCGCCGTCAGGACTAAACAAGGCGCAAGAAAAATCCAACCTTTCCTTGATATTTGTCGATATGGAAGTACGTTGCAAGGTTCTCCCCATTTGCTCAGCTATACCCATGAATCTGTGATTAAATATGGACAGTTGAACAACATCTGCAACATTCTCTGCAAGCTTCACATTGCTCGTTGCAGACTCTACCTCGATCTTAATGTTCCCATATTTTGTGATGATGGCTTTGCACTGAGGTTCAACAATAACAGTACTATTACCGTTCATGATGATTGCAGGGCCAGGAATCTCATGTCCAAAACCTAAATTCTCCAACTTGAACAACGGTGTGTCATGCCATCCAGCTTCAAAGTAAACCTTGTAGTGCTTCTCAACCTTAGGAGTACCAGGGGTTGCTTCAACTGCCCGTGGTCTTAATATACTAGTCACTCCAATTCCCCTAACCCGAACATCACATATGATGAGGTCTCTGTTTTGAAGTTTAAATCCATACTCTTGCTCGAATAGCTTGAGAAACTCTGCAGCATAATCAAATGCCAATCCATCTCCAGTTTTTTTACCCTTTACCATGATCGCTGTATCTGTGCCATCATATCTTATATTCAAATACGTCTCAGTGGAGATATTTTCATCATCAAACCCTTGCTCCTGGAGCTTATTTCTCACTTCTCCTAGTAATAAAGTTTCCCTTCTAAAGGCCTCTGAAAGAGATTCAGGGCCATAGACAGCTGAATAAGGCTCTTGAGCATCTTCAATGACATCTGCCAAACCCATTCCATAAGCACTCAAAATTCCACAGTATCTGTGAACGAGAACCTCTTTCATGCCCAAAGACCTAGCAATTGCACAAGCATGTTGCGGTCCAGCACCTCCAAAGCATGCAAGCGCATGATTCTTTGTTTCGTGACCCTTCATCTCTGTCAGTTGCCGTATGGGACGACACATTGTCTCGTTAGCAACACTAATAAATCCCATTGCTGTTTCCTCCACCGTCATATCCTTTGCAGATGGATCCTGGCTCTTTCTATATGAATTAATCTTTCCTGCAAGTTTTTCAAATGCATCTCTTGTTGCTGCTATATCTAAGGGCTGATCTTCTTTAGGCCCAAAAATGGATGGAAAATAATCAGGAATAACAAACCCCAAAACGAGATTTGCATCAGTAACTGCTAACTCTCCTCCTTTCCGGTAACAAACAGGACCTGGGTGAGCACCCACAGAATCAGGTCCCACCCTGAAAGCACCAAACTGAAACTTTAGTTTCGACCCACCACCAGCAGCAACAGTATTTATGTCAAGCTGTGGCGCTTGTATGATTGTCCCAGCAATCTGAGTTTCTATCACTTGCTCATAACTCCCATCATAGCGGCTAACATCCGTTGATGTACCACCCATGTCAAATCCAATCAGCGGCTTTTCAGTTTCAAGACCAAAGAGTGTCTGCGAATAACCAACAACTCCTCCTGCTGGACCTGACAACACAGCTTTATGCCCTGAAAACCGACTTTCCGGTGCTAGGCCTCCATCAGATTGCATAAATAGAACATTCACTTTCCCAAGGTTATCATCGAACTTGGAGATGAAACCCGATAAGTACTCTTTAATCACTGGCGTCAGGTAAGCATCCACAGTAGCAGTTAGACCCCGAGGAACAGCCCGAACCATGGGAGTCAACGCAGAAGACAAAGAAACATGTCTAAAACCCAACTCTAAAGCCAACTTCTCCACAGCCATCTCATGCTTTGGATAAGTATATGAATGCATCAGAACAACAGCCAAACAACTTATCCCTTTATCAAGCAAACCCTTCAACAAAGGTCTCAAAGCTTCTTCATCAAACGGCTTCACTACTCGAAGAAGCTCACCAGACACCCCTTTAATCAAAGACCCTGAATTATCATCATCTCCAAGTGAAAGCTCAACTCTTTCATCAACCTCAACAACCTCTTCATAAAGATTCGACGGTTTCGCCACAGTAAGATCAAAAATATCAGGCCTAGCTTGATTACCAATCTGCAACAAATCTTTAAACCCTTTAGTAACACAAAGAGCTATCCTTTCTCCTTTCCTCTCCAACAACGCATTCGTTGCCACAGTCGTACCCATCCTTATCCACTGAATCTTATCAGTAGGTATCTTAGACGTTCTTGGTATACTTTTCCCTGTGTACTCCTCCAGTATCCTCCTAATCCCCTCTACAGGAGCATCATCGTAGTTCGATGGATCCACTGATAAAAGCTTCAGAACACGACCATCAGAATGCCCTGGAATCTCAGCATACACATCAGTGAATGTACCTCCTCTGTCAATACAAAACCTTAGCTTTCCTTCAATTACAGTACCCATCTCTCACACTCTCTCTGCAAAAATCAAAACTTTAACCGATTTAAGATTCCACAAGCTAAATCAAATCAAACCCAACAACGAAATTTCACTAATCACCATGACAGAACAAAATTAACATCGATAAGATGATGAACATGATCATTGGTAGATAATGAGATTTCAGATAGAACCAATTCAGATGAAACGACGAGAGTGAAGCATCGGTAATCAAAATTAAAAATATCAGTGAAATTAAATACCTTGAACTAGTAGAGGAGATCGATGGAGGAACGAGATTTTAGCAGAGAGCGTCAACACTGAAGTGATGAAGATGATGAAGATGAGAATACGAAGGATCTCTCCATTATTAAGCTGCTTCTTTTGGCGTTTTGAGGTTTGACTTACTAAACCATTTCGGTTATTTTGGTTGGTTAAAGCTTAACCGGATAATAATTTGAAGGTTATCTGATCCAATTATTGAATATTTATTTTATTTAAAAAAAACAAATATATAATTTTTAGGCTAATTATTTTGTTGTTGGCCTAAATTATTGAGAATAATGAGAGATTTGACTGGTGTAAAGTTTAGGATCTTTTGATTTTCCGGTTTGATTTTATCTTTCTGATTTAGAGCTTAACCGGAAATTATTTTGAGATTTCAGCATCTAACTAGGAACCTAAATTAATTTTGATTATCTTGATTTTGTTTTGCAGCAGCAACGGATTTGGTAAGACAGATAATATAAGGTGGTCGAGTATGTATTATCGAAGATTATTGTAATTTGGCTAAGCTATGGATTATGTAGCTTATCATATTTTAACGAAGATAGTAACTGTGGACAAATGTTAAACGTGGAGTTATTATATATGTGTGTGTGTGTGGCACCAGTTCATAAACATATTAGTATATTTTAGTGTAAAGAAATGTAAAAAACAACAGAACAATATATACAACTAGAAAAACAAAATATATGCGAGTTCCTAACATAGAAAAATAGGTATGATTATATGTTAAATTAGGATTTATCCCGTGGTACACTACGGATCTATAATTTAATATATTTTTTTAATTTGTTATTTTCGTAATGGGTTTATATAGTCTAGTTTATACATGTTCATTTTATTATAATTTTATAAAATTTTATGAATTTGTATTATAAGTAGATTCATATATATATGTGGTTAACCTGCAAGACAAATTTGTTATAAAAACATATATTTTAACATTACCCGTAAAGATTGTAAATATAGACAAACCCGACTGAAAAATATAAACAAACTCCAAATATTAATAATACTTTAACTTTATGTAGATTTATATTTTTAATATTTTAATTATTCTATAAAGCTTAAAAGTTTGTAACTTAATATTTGTAACTTTTTAAAAGTTTTACTTTAAAAGATTTATTTTTCTTAAATAAAAAACCGAATGAAACTGGATAAATTTTTTAATTCGGAGTTTGTAGTTGGGAGCATATTAGTCATATTTGTAATGGTTTTGAACTATTATCTAAATTTTTCTACCTTATGTAGACATTGTACATATATTTTTTCCCTTATCGATTGACTTCTATACGTTCGTTTTCAAAAAATTTAATTGCAAATTGTGTGGAAGAAAATTTGTATTTTTATTATAAATATATTTTATGTAATAATATAAGTTAAAAACAAATAAGATTATATATTTATATTGGAGAGAGATTCGATTTATTAGAGATTTTAGGAAATTTTTTGATGTAATAAATATTGGTTTCCAATTTTGCGATTTGCTTATGATTTAATTACAAAATTTACTTTTAAGTTTTGTTATTTGTTCAAATGGCAAGGGTTTGATTATGCAAATATTGCAAATTAAAAAGTTATAATCCAAAATTGATTTTAGTATAAAATGTACTTCAAAAATGTTAAGATAGATGTTTACCAATGTACAAAATACATTTTGATAAAAGATGTTTATGAACAAAATAATTTGAGTTTAGACAAAAACTCATAAATCTTTCGTAATCACGAAGATATTGTGGAAACCTTGAATCTTGCGATGTTATTATTATTAATATAAAACAACGATCTCTCCTCTACCTCCTTCATCTGCAAACCTTACATGCTTCTGCATATTGTGATACATCATACATAGCTTATGTTAGTGTGTGTTATAAATTTATAATGTATGGTTTAAAATTTGATACTAGCTAGAAGAAACCTTAACATATTGTGTGATACTAATTAAGTTCTCGACGTTATTACCTCTTTGTAATGGTTCTTTATTCTCCGACCTAAGCCATTGTTATCTCCGGCTTGTATCTCACCGGAGCTCTCCAAATAAACGCTTATAAGCTTCGCCGCGACTTCAGAAACATCTTGGCTTTCTCCCATTAACTTCTTGATTTGAGACCTAGGCAGCTTCAATGTCACCCTCGTCTGTCCAGGTCCAGGCCCGTCTCCATTGTTCGAACTAGCGATACCGATGTCCGAAACCGTTCTCCGAGAAAGCATTAACATCTCAAGACGCTCCTTGGCTCCAACATGAATATTACCGGACATAACTCTCCGGTAAGGAAGCTTATTCTTCTTATCTACCATCGGAAGGTCCACTAGAAAATATGTTTTATTCGGCCTTAAGATATGATTCGGCTCCAGCGGTTTGGCTCGAACTCCTAAACGTTTCACGGTCTCGGCGTCTAAGAGCGCAAACCCGGGATACTCTTTCGTGGCGTCACTCGCTGTTACCGGAGTTTTGAGCCGGAAAATATCGCCGTCGATCTTCATAACTTTCACTTTGTTTCTCCTCACCATGATAGTGTTCCCCATTTGTTCTATGACTTTTTAGTTCAATAGATCTCATAAAGCTTGTGCTATCTATTTATATGTTGAGGAGGTTTAGTTAAAGCTTTTATTTTAATAAAGTCTTAAAGTTGAATTTTAATAAACTAATTATGTTGAAAAAAATACAAACGTGAAAAAGTCGGTCCATAGCGATACATTTGTGATTTGTCTATGCCATTTTTAAAAGTAATCATATATAGTCGCCAGGATTATCTTAATATTTGATGACTAGGTACGTATGTTATATTCAATTCTGTAAGGCGGTTATCCAAATTTTACTTTCGCCATATCAATAAAAAAATTATTTTAGTTAGAAAAATATGCAAATTTCATCGTTCTATTTATGGATTGAAGTAAGCATCTCGAAATTGGAATTGTCTATCCCAAACTTTTATCATTTGAAGTATGCATACTAGCTAGAGTTACTATACTATGGCATAAAGCATGCAAATGAATTGGGAGGTTCAAAGAGACCGTTGTAAATTGTCTTTTTTTTTTTGTTTTTTTCTTTTTATCAATATTGGACAACAACTGGCTGATGCATTAGCCAAATTCCTACAGATATGTAGGGAGTGGGACTCAATCCCTGGTATGATGATGTTTGTCCATCAGTGAACTTATCATTTGCCACTATACTAACGTCACTTTACAACTGGTTGTAAACTGTCAAAAAAGTGAATTTGCAACTGACTGAGTCCATGGGCCGGTACATCCCCGTAAGGCAAAGTCAAACCTTTGTAGTTAGTATTAGTTATAACTCTCTTTTGGAGAGCATACTTTTCTAAACCTATGATTTAGCTAGAGGATTAACAACTAGGCCAACTTATCACTGGTCAACTAACACTTTTACTGATGTCAACAACAACAACAAAAAAAAACAAAAAACTAACACTTAAACAATGGGGAAATATTGTATATTCAATTAAAAAAATTTGAGTTTTAGTTTTTTTCTAAAGTGTTTAAGAGAAATAAATCTATCTTAACATTTTCTAAATACATTTTGTACTAAAATCTATTTTGGGTTATAACCTTTTATTTGGTAGTATTTGCATAATCAAACCCTTGCCATTTGAATAAATAACAAAACTTAAAAGTAAATTTTGTAATTAAATCACAAGCAAATAACAAAACTGGAAACAAATATTTATTACATCAAACAAATTTCCTAAAATCTCTATATGATAAATCACATCTCTCTCTAATAAATTTATATAATCTTATTTGTTTTGATTTATATTATTACATAAAACATATTTATAATAAAAATACAATTTTCCGCACATTTAGCAATTTAAGTTTTTGAAAACGGACGTATATAATTCAATCGATAAAGGAAAAAATATATGTAGAAAGTCTACGTAAGGTAGAAAATTATAGATAATAGTTTAAAACATTACAAATAGTACTAATATGCTCCCAACTACAAATGAGCATGAAGTTGGTTTTTCAGGCATCCAAATTAAAAATGGGACAATTTTAAAAATGCCCCTTTTGGAGAATACATTTTTAAAAATGCCCTAATGGGGAGAGCATTTTTAAATATACCCTTCTTTTTGTATAAAAAGACAGTTATACCCTTAATGATTTAACCTAATTGCAAAAACCCGTTTCTCCTTCTCCATCATCTCTTCTTCTACATCGTTTCTCTCTCTCTCTCTCTCCATCTCTTCTTTCTCTGCATCTCCTCTCTATCTGGAGAGCTTCTCTCTCTCTACATCTCTTCTCTCTCTGGATCTCTTCTCTCTTAGGATCTCTTCTCTCTCTGGATTTCTTCTCTCTTAGGATCTCTTCTCTCTCAATACTCGATCTACTTTCTCGATTTGCTTCTCTCTGAATCACATCTCTCTGGATCTCATCTCTCTGGATCTGCTCTCTCTCTCCATCATCTCTCTCTGGATCTGCTCTCTCTCTCCATCATCTCTCTGTGGATCTGCTCTCTCTCTCTCTCTATCATCTCTCTGGATCTGCTCTCTCTAGCGTTGTCGTAGCACTTGTCGTCAGTTATGGACTATTGAATCCATTATTCAGGTTTGTGTTAATTTTGTAGAATCCATATAAATTTTGGGTAAAATTGAATAGAATGTTAGTAGGTACAGATTCATTAGGGTATACTCTGAAATTTAGTTTTTGTTTCATAATCTTAGTGTACCAAAAAAAATTACAAACCTTTTAAAAGCATTTAAAAGGTTTTAAATTGATTTTTAATGTGTTTTTATACAGGTTGGAATCTTCATAAAGATTATCATGGTTTTTGTAATGGATTATGGTGTTGTTGGTGGGACTAAAGGCGATTATAAAGCTTATGAGGAATATAGTGTTGTGTCCTACTGTTAAAGAAGTTGTTATCTGTGAAGGATCAATCCCTTGTTTGGTTCCAATGTTGAGGTGGGCGATTTCAGGTGTGAGAATTGCAGCTGGAAAAATGTTGGTGGTGTTTGCTTGCATTTGTAAAAGGTTGTGGTGTGGAGCTGTAGTGGTGCTTGTTTTCATCCACGTTCTTGGCTTTATTATAATATAGTTATCTTCCTTTTTTCTTTGCTATATGTAGATTCATATGTCTGTGGTTAAGATCTTGGTAAATAATATTATGAACATGATGCTACACGTAAAATACAAAGCAATAAGGTCTTACAAACTTTGAAAACCTATGGAAATAATGTTAAAGTATTTAAAAGGTCTTACAAGATTTTAAAAAGCATTTGAAAGATTTTACAAGCCTTTTATAAGGTTTAAAAAGGTTTTTAGAAGACTTTTAAAAACTTTTAAAAGTATTGAAAAGATTTTACAAGCCTTTTTAAAGATTTTTAAAAGTTTTTTTAACAAGTTTTTAAACGCTTTTATAAGGTTTTGTGAAGTATTTACAAGATTGTAAAACCTTTTAAAACCCTTGTATTTTATTTTATTTTTAAAACATTTAGAACCCTTGTAAATTCTTTTAAAAACCTTTTTAAATCTTTTTAAAAACCTTTTATAATCTTCCTTGTTTCTTAGCTCTATGTAGAAGTATATGTATGTAGTTAAGATCTTGGTAAATGATATTATGATCATGATTCTACACGTAAAATACAAAGTAATAAGGTTCTAAAATGAGTACAACTCATCAATCTCTAATAAGAACTTTAAAATATATAAAAACATTATACAAACTTTAAAACCTATAAGAAATCTTGTAAAAGTTTTCAAAAAGTTTTACAAAGACTTTAATAAGGTGTTTAAAATGTGTATTAAGGCTTTATAAAGTTTTTAAAAGGTTTTTATAAGGTTTTTATAAAATGTTTATAAAATGTTTATAAGGTTTTTATAAGGTTTTTATAAAGTGTTTAAATGTATATTAAGGGTTTAAGAACTAATTAAAAAGTGTATTAAGGCTTTATAAAGTTGTATAAAAGGTTTTTATAAGGTGTTTAAATGTGTATTAAGGCTTTATAAAGTTTTTAAAAGGTTTTTATAAGGTTTTTATAAGGTTTTTATAAGGTGTTTATAAGGTTTTTATAAGGTGTTTATAAGGTTTTTATAAGGTGTTTATATGGTTTTTATAAGGTTTTTATAAAGTTTTTATAAGGTTTTATAAGGTGTTTAAATGTATATTAAGGGTTTAAAAACTAATTAAAAGTTTTACAATGTTTTTGTAAGGTTTTGTGAAGCATTTAAAAGATTTTACAAGATTTTTGTATAGCTTTTAAAAGTATTTTACCTACTTACAGTTCCATAGAAATCTTCCATTCATGTCACAAAGGTAACAAATAGAAACATACATAAGTATTAACACATGAACTTGAGGTTGAAATACATATTAACACAGTAACATACATAAGTATTAACACAATGAAAGAAGAACCATCACAACCAAATCAGAAGTAGTTAGCGATTACAAACAATAATTACGGGTTTAATGGAATATATCTCAGACTCTAATTTCACTTCTCCAAAAGCTATGCATACATAAAAGAAATCCGTTTGTTCATTTGTAAAGCCCACTGTAACCTCCTTCTCTTTTGTCCACTTATTAATCTCTACAACGAGCCAACACGTTACATGACGAGGTGAATCTTGATTCTTTTCTCAAGCTTCTTAGAAGTTATGTGTTCAGCAATTCTCAGATCTCCAGCATCTAATCCACGGGAGCTTATAGCCAATTCTGCGACTGTGACATCAAGTGATTCAAAGCTTCAGTTTCTGCAGTCAAGAGGATACAATGCACCTGCAATTAAAGAACGAATTAACTAAAGCTAGGAGAGAGAGAGCCAAAACTGGTCTCATCTAGTCCATTACCTCAAATACATGATATATGAGTCTCATCTAGTCCATTTAACACATCAGCTCTTCTAGACAACAAAACCAACATAACAACACCAAACCTATAGTTATCAAGTTTCTCTACAACACTAAGTATCTTTCATTGGTGATGGGCTCTCCTATCAAATTCACTCTTCCTACACACACAACTGAACAAACATCTTCACCATCTATTTCATATTCATATGCAACAATTCTCATTACAATACCATCTTCTAATCATCTAAATACAAAAACTGCAGACATCAACACATAATTAGCAACCAATTCATCAAAAATCCATATCATATAGAATTCTCTTTCCACAACTATTAAAAATCATACTTAATATATGCTTCTCATCCATTAGCCAACAGCAATTTGCATAAAACAATAAGCTTATTTTTTTGGCATTTTACCAAACACCTTATGTGCGCTCAATGAATCTTTCTATTTTCTGTAGAAATCACATAAACGTGTACCTTAAATGTGATATTATCAAACCTAAGACAAAATCAGAAAAGCAAAGAAGAAGAAAAGATCAAAGCTCACCTATGACGACAACTCTATATGTTAGCAACAAAAGGAAGGTATGACTAAGTAGAAGATGGAATTGAGAAGAAATAACGACAGAGAACAAGAGACGAGGTGAGACAACGACTAAGGAGAAATCGGAGAAGATGAGATGATGCTAGAGAAGAAGGTCGATG